TAGAAACAAGTGTCCATGATGAATTTGTAGATAAAACTTAGTTGAATGGATGGCAACCGTCGGTTGTAGAAACAAGTGTCCATGATGAATTTGTAGATAAAACTTAGTTGGATGTATGGCAACTGTCTGTTGTAGAAACAAGTGTCCATGATGAATTTGTAGATAAAACTTAGTTGGATGTATGGCAACTGTCTGTTGTAGAAACAAGTGTCCATGATGAATTTGTAGATAAAACTTAGAAGAATGGATGGCAATTGTCAGCTGTAGAAACAAGTGTCCATGATGAATTTGTAGATAAAACGTTAGTTGAATGGATGGCAACTGTCGTTTGTAGAAACAAGTGTCCCTGATGAATTTGTAGATAACACTTAGTTGGATGTATGGCAACTGTCTGTCATGGACACTTGTTTCTACAACAGACAGTTGCCATACATCCAACTAAGTTTTATCTACAAATTCATCATGGACACTTGTTTCTACAATGAATTTGTAGATAGAACTTAGTTGGATGTATGGCAACTGTCTGTTGTAGAAACAAGTGTCCATGATGAATTTGTAGATAAAACTTAGTTGGATGTATGGCAACTGTCGGTTGTAGAAACAAGTGTAGAGGACGTCGTTTTGAAAGTCTTCCGCCTTTTGTCTTCTGAACGTCGTCCTCTACACTTGTGTTTCTTGAACAGACAGTTGCCATCCATTCAACTAAGTTTCATCATGAATACACTGCCTAAATAATCTATCAAAGAATGTGTAAATAATTCAATATAATTGAAAAATTGTTACTCTTGAAAAGTAAGCAACAGTAGATGTAAAATACGGTAAATTCAATTTGTTTGTTTTTTTAAAGGTTTGTGGACTACCAAATGTAGGGGCTTGGCCCAAAACATTGTTATTAACATTAGAAAATCTTATATTTTCTGGAAAATAATTGTTGTGTACAGACTGTTTTTCTTTTTAACTAAGAAATTGTAACATGGAACAGATTAAGTTGTTTAAAATACAAATATTTTATTATGATGACAACATATACAGGCAGCTTAAGCTTTTCAGGTAGATAGATGAAACTGTGCATTTAAACTTTGTGTTTTAATATCATAAGACCAAATCTTTCCCATATTTTCACAGGCCTGCCCCACAAGTAAAACACTATCATATTAAGGCAAAACCATCGGGAGAATACTGTTTATCAGAAAAACATTTTTTTTCAACCATCAGTGACCTTATTTTTTATCATAAGCACAACAGTGCTGGTTTAGCGACTAGACTTAAACAACCTCCAAGTAGCCCAACACGTGCCACACCCACTACTGCTGGCCTAAGCCATGGTAAGTTTTATATTCTATTGTTTTTAACAAGAAAACTTATTTTTTTGTGTTGATGAATTGCTACAGGAGTTTAATGTCTCTTTCATTTTGTCAGAGTTACTTTCTAGCTTCAGTGACTCATGAACACATTGTCACAGTTACTACATGGTTTTATTGAATGCTTGACTGTCGTGTTGACAGAATTATACCTGGCTTTAATGTCTCATGAACACATGACTGTCATATTGACAGAATTAACATAACATAACGTTTTGGGACAACATGAGACCTATTGCTCCATCTCAGCTGTTTCATCCTCTGAACTTAATTAAAATAAATAAATCTTAAAACCAGCCCTTTTCATACATATACTTATCAAGCTTTTTCTTAATCTCACCTAAATTTACTGTTTCTACAACATCTGAAGATAACCCACTCCAAAGGTTAACCACCCTGTTAGAAAAATAAAACTGTTTTAGCTGAAGATGACTCCTACCTTGCCAACATTTATATTTGTGTCCCTTATTCCCACTATTCTCACTGTTAAAGATGATGCATCAACACTATCAATTCCCTTTATAATCTTAGCTCAGATCTCCATAACTCTTCTTTTTTCAAGAGAAAACAATTTGAGATATTTCAACTTCTCCTCTATCTGTTTCATGTTCCATGAACTCTTGACTGATATGTTGAAAGAATTAATACCTGGATTAATGTCTCATGAATACTTGACTGACATTTTGACAAAATTAATACCTGGGTTTAATATCTTGTGAACATGTCTCTTTCATTTTGACAGAATTATAACCAAACTTTGATTCTGTCATACTAGTTTCTCGTGAAACTTCACACTTCCATTGTTTCCACAGAATTACCAACTGGCTTTGATTCTGTCTTACTAGTGTCTAGTGAAACTTCACACTTCCATTGTTTCGACAGAATTACCAACTGGCTTTGATTTGGTTTTACTAGTGTTTCATGAAACTTCACACTTCCATTGTTTTGACAGAATTACCAACTGGCTTTGATTTGGTTTTACTAGTGTCTAGTGACACTTCACACTTCCATTGTTTCGATAGAATTACCGACTGGCTTTGATTCGGTTTTACTAGTGTCTAGTGACACTTCACACTTCTATTGTTTCGGCAGTATTACCAACTGGCTTTGATTCGGTTTTACTAGTGTCTAGTGACACTTCACACTTCTATTGTTTCGACAGTATTACCAACTGGCTTTGATTCGGTCTTACTAGTGTCTAGTGACACTTCACACTTCCATTGTTTCGACAGAATTACCAACTGGCTTTGATTCAGTTTTACTAGTGTCTAGTGACACTTCACACTTCCATTGTTTCGACAGAATTACCAACTGGCTTTGATTCA